GAGAGAGAGAGAGAGAGAGAGAGAGAGAGAGAGAGAGAGAGAGAGAGAGAGAGAGAGAGAGAGAGAGAGTGTGTGTTTACGGGTGTGTTTTTGTAGTATCCGATCCTTTTTCTCGCTTTCACGTGAAAGTGTTCTTGTCAAGCCATAGTGTCTTTTCGATCAATCACATTGTTCAAAATGAATTAATTGATCTTTTAAAACACGTTTAATAGTTTTGTAAATGTTATACTTTCTCCTCCGGTTTTTTAAAGACAGTAGATATAATATGCCGGATAGGAGGACGTTGTCTACATGTTTGTGTGATTTGCTGAATTGTGAAGTTGTACTTTATTTTCAAGTTTTGAATCTGTTTTTTGTGCTATGAAGTCAGGCCAGAAATGATGCCTCTAAATGCGTAGAAAAATAATACTACCATAAGTTTCTTTAAAAGGAATGCAAGTATGTTCGGGTATTGCTTCGTTCCCCACCGGCCACCTTTAAGAGATGATTCATCATACATCCTCGCACTTTACCTGGCCGATAACAAATATCAACAATACCAGGAAGACAACAACAAGAACCGATTCACTGAGGCTGAACTAAAAGAGAAGTGGAATCTAGATCTAGATATGATAATAGATCTAATATGGCATGAAGAGAAAGGTATTTATAAATATCCTACTGACCCTGCATTTGACCTTCGTTTTTTTTTGTTGGAACAGATTGTTTTTGTCTTGCCTGAGGAGAAGTCGCCCTTTCAAGCCTTTGCCTTTTGTTGTTGACGTCTACTGATCCGAATTTTAGCTGCCGACTCAGCCCTTGCAATAATGCAGGGCTAGACAAACAAAGTTACAAACATTTTGCTGTCTGTAGATTCTATATCTCCATCCCATCTGTACTCTAAGAAAAATGGTTTTATTAACTCTTGTCCTGTGTCTGTGCTGAGATGCGAATCTTTATCAGCAACCGATTACGACGCGTCGGACGTTCGGGGCAGGCCGCCTTGGTCACTCTCAGTGTGTACTGTTGGTGTACAGCGCGCGCGTGCCGGGAAACATGTGTGTTTGCCATGAATACCGTGGGAGTGTGTAAATCGATGATGAAAATAACGCTCTATCTTTTAAATTTCTTATTTATAATGGAGTGTCTACGTACACGGTAACCGGGCACGTAGCCTCAGGGTCTACAGTCTACGTACACGATAACTGGGCACGTAGCCTCAGTTTCTACGTACACGGTAACCGGGCATGTACGCGCTGGCCTCAGTGTCTACGTACACCCTAACCGGCAACCGGGCGCCTCTCATTACGAACACGGTAACTGGGTATTTAGTTTTGTGGGGGAGGGGGATTTGAGCTAGGTGTACGGTTGTAACTGCTTTGCTCCCTTCATGACACTGACATTAAATTTTCCTTTTTACTGTGTAGTCTCAATGTCGCATACACGGTAAACGTGCGCGTAGCCTCAATATCTACGTACACGGTAACCGGCAACCGGGCGCCTCTCACGGTAAACGGGTATTTAGTTTCATGGGGGGGGGGGCCTTGAGCTAGGTGCACGGTAACAGCTTTGCTCCCTTCATAACCTTGACTGTTTTCTTTTTTCTCCGTGTAGTCTCAATGTCACATACACGGTAACCTAGCAATGCCAATCGGGCTTTCCCGCGAGGCGAAAATTTGGTCCCCGTTTACGGGCGATTTTGCGGACCCGGCCGAAGCATAGGTGACTAACTTTGTCAACCTCGGTCTGCTCTATTTCCCAACCAATCCGAATGAAACTCGGCAACCAATCAGAAAATGAGAAAATAGGGCAAACTAATGATATGTGGACGTTGAAGTTCGTACACATAAATTAACCTATACTTTTGGTGTCGGGAACACTTTCGTATCGTGTACACCGAAAACTCTAAGGAGTTTGAATTTCAACGCCGAGATGGTAATAGATCTATCTATCCTCTATAGTGTGCTCAAATTTGAACGTTCTGTGTCAAGTAGTTGTTTAGACCCGATCATAAATGCACGACTACCCCCCTATCCAAAGCGGCTTTACACGGAGACCGGCCATTTTCCCCTCACTCTCGTGGCAAATGGATGTGACCTACAAATCCCCGCATGACTATTCCGGGCCCGTTCATTGGTCACTTGAAATAGGGCAATGGCGGGCGCGCGCATCCGGTTGTTTTTCTCTCTATTCCCCTGTAACATCGCTATGGGGGTATTCCGAGGCGAGGTTATCTCGTCTCGGGGTGTTCGCGTCTCAACGGGGAAAAAGAATTTATAATTGTACGGCATGCTAGATTGAATTAACTTATCTTTTACGGTTGGCATGGTCTGAAGTCATCATAAAAGCTTTGCAATTATTTAGTCACGCTGCCGACATATATTCTTAAAACCCCATGTTGTGATACGATGCTATAAATAAAATGGACTCATCCCGACACCCCTTTTTCGCAAAATCGTAATATGTACACCACAATTTTAATTATAACAAAATAACTACTAAATTGGTAGTAAATCTGACTGCAGAAATGATTTCTACACTCAAAAACACATCGGGTAGCCAAGTTTCTCTCGAACACTCCGATTAGTTACCGAGATATCGTCGATTTTCTTACAGAATCTGCTACTGCGTGATCCACTTTTTAGGAGTATTTTCCTATATGTGGGTCATCCATATTTTGCTGACCTTTACAACCCCATAACTTTTTTATTTATGAACCGATTCTCAAAATTCAAGAAGCATAATTCTTAGAATTGAAAATTTTTTCTTAGGTACCAAATAAAAGGGGGCAAAGGTGAAAATTTAAATTTTCATTGGCATTGCTAGGTAACCGGGCACGTAGCCTCAATATCTACGTACAGGGTAACCGGCAACCGGGCGCCTCTCATTATCTACGAACACGGTAAACGGGTATTTAGTTTCATGGGGGGGGGGGGGCTTGAGCTAGGTGCACGGTAACAGCTTTGCTCCCTTCATAACCTTGACCGTTTTCCTTTTTCTCCGTGTAGTCTCAATGTCACACACATGGTAACCGGGCACGTAGCCTCAATATCTACGTACACGGTAACCGGCAACCGGGCGAGTAGTCTCAATGTCATATATACACGGTAACCGGGCACGTAGCCTCAATATCTACGTACACGGTAACCGGTAACTGCACGCCTCTCATTATGATTCATTATCTACGAACATGGTAACCGGGGGTATGTAGTTTCGGGGGTGGGGTTGGGGGGGGGCTTGAGCTAGGTACACGGTAACTGCTTTGCTCCCTTCGTGACCTTGACCTTTTTCCTTTTTCATTCCGCTCTTTGTGTGTTGTGAGCGGAATGTAATCCCAAAAACGATCCCAATCTACCCCCTGTCATCTTTCCTAAGGGAGAGCAAAATGCAGTGACACTGAAAATCTGCGAATCTGGAACAGAAAACTAAAATGTGAGGTAGCATTGTGGAATCAGGCTCTTGTCAAAATAATCAAAGTGAAGAAACTTGCATTTTTCCACGGGTATGTGAATTTTTATCATTTTTTTTTTTTTTTTTTGGCTCAACACCTTTCATGCCCATTAAAGAACTCATTTCTGTGTGGATTTTTCTGAAAAGCGTTGATTAAAGGCATAAAAAAGTAAATCTTCAGTTACCATGGACTCTTAAGCTAAGGAAATAACTAATCTTTGGCGGCCATTTTCTCACTAATTTTACCTCTGAAAACAGGTGACCCCCACCTCCTTCTTTTGCAAATATCTCGACTTGTATTCAAGATAAATGGATATTTTTTGCATCCAAATAAAGACAAGTAAACAAGCTTTAAGATGATACCGATAACTCTACATGCCAAAAAAATGACGAGAGCCTGATTCCATCACGCTGCCTCACAAATATAGATGTTTACAAAACATGTACTTGTAATACTATCACGAGAGAACGAGACTCAGAAAACAGAGAGAGGGATAGAGAGAGAATATCGTTGTGAGGCTATGGAGATTTTTGTTTATAATGTAACTACATGTACAAAGTCATAGTCAAGTCTACTTCTGACAAACTCAACCAAAAACTGTCCTCATATCGTTTTATCCAATGCGTATGTTGTGTGATTTGTGTGTGTGTAACATGCTATATATGTATTAAATATATATAGAGGCTATTCGTATATATGCATGATGTGTGTGTCTCTCTCTCTCTCTCTCTCTCTCTCTCTCTCTCTCTCTCTCTCTCTCTCTCTCTCTCTCTCTCTCCCTCTCCCTCTCCCCCCCTCTCTTTCTATGTGTTTATGTATTTTTGTGTGTGATTATAAGTGTGGTGTGTGTAAAGATAGTATTATTGGGTGGTTGCGGTGGGTGCTCGGGTGTGGTCTGCTCCTTCTCTCATATTCAACATCTATACTTTATCTTTCTCCTCCTTCTTTTTGTGTTTCTTACTCTCCTGTAACACTAACACCTCTAATCTTCGGCACTTATATGAACTTATTGTGTTGCAAGTGCTAACTCATACGAAAACAAAAGATAGTTTTAGGTATGAACAGGGCGCTTTGGCGAAACACCCATTATTATTGTACTGTTGAACCCTAGAATGCAGAAATGGAAACCATCAATTTGTCAAAGCAAGGTTATTTCACACCAATTTGAGGGTTTGGGAGATAATTTCAAGTAAGAGTCACGAACAAAATATTTACAATCTTGATTACGTACAGAAAGTATTGGCGCCTGGGGTCTTGTGCGACTTATTCATATTTTCCCTTCATCACATTCGCCTGTATATTATTTATATAAACTATATAAAAATGAATCTTGTTTTGAGCCTAGAACCAGAATATCGACTGTCATGATTCATATCATATATATAGGCCTATATAATAAACGTGAAAGACAAAAATTAATGCTCAAACTCAAAGTACAGTAGAATAGCCCAAGTAGACCTATTCAGTGTGAGAGGTGTAAGAACTGTGGGAGGGCAAGATGCAGTGATGCTGAAAATCTGCGAATCTTGTACAGAAAGCTAAATTAATATAGAGATCTAATTTACTGTAACCAATCCAATGAAATGCGAACACTTTGGCCGTTTTCACACAAGGCCTGCACCAGCGCACACTTTACTTAACAGAGAGCTGTAGTAGATAATCAAAATTCTAAACATTAAACATATTTGTTTCCAGTTTCAGGTTTTTTTTTGTCCTCTGGTGTTGCGTCCAGCCCTCCCCCTATCCCCGAGTGCGTCTTTAAAAAAATCAATAAGCTCCCCCCCCCATTCCTGAGTCCTGTAGACCCTGAGGCTACGCACCCGGTTACCGTGTACGTAGACACTCCGTATTTATGAAGTGTTACATTTACAAACACATGAATAACCCCCTCTCACAAGCTGATAAGACATTACATGAGTAGTTACACCCATTTGATCCTTTCTAGAGACGTTGTTGTTATGAATGACCTGGGGTTCGAAAGGGGATAATATAGTGGTTAGGCTCTCGGACTCGCAACCGTAAGGTCGTGGGTTCGAATCCCGTCAGGGGCCCGACGTTGTGTCCTTGGGAAAGGCACTTTACACGAATTTTCCTCACTTCACCCAGGTGGGAATGGGTACCCGGCTATAGACAGCGAAAGATCTTGTCAGTTTGTTAGTGTTTGAGCGCTTAATCGGCCGCTTGCACTGTATGCTTCTCGGGAAGCTGAGAATGTTTCGGAGTGTTCTATGGTCTGCTGGGGTAATAATATAGTGTAAAGCGCATAGAGCCTGCTGTTGAGCGGGGATATGCGCTATACAAATGCTATCTATTATTATTATTATTAATATAAGTCAATATCCGAATGTTTTACACTCAAATTGTTCTTTGTACACCCCCACAATGGTAAAATTATCAAACAAGTTTATTTTTTATTCAGGTAGATCTAGACTAATATAATTTTATACAAAATCAAGCTCATTTGAAAGGTTTTGTATAGAAAAATGGAAGTCTTGTTCAGGGGCGAAGGCTGACTTGTTTGACAGGGTAATCAAAGGAACCAGATAGGGCCTGGAGATATATCACACAAGAATCTTACTAGAGGCGGCAACACTGAAATTGTTAATTGTGAATGAAAGCAAATCCTGAATTCATGTTGAACAGGGCCGGCCTTCAATGCCGATGCCATCCGTCCTGAGATACAGGGCCTGAACTGAGAAGGCCTAGGCATTACAGTAGTCTCCACCTAAACGCATGCCATACAAAAGCACGCTCCGCTCAAACGCACGCTTTCATCATCTGACGGGTTTTTACTATATAATTTAGACGTGCAAACGCACGGTCACTCCCTCTAAACGCACGCTCTGATCTGCGAAACACGCTGACAGGTAAAGCTTGACTAAGGGAAATTTTCACTACAAGCCTAGAAAATCGGACATTTCACGAGATTGCCCCTTACGCCGAACAAAGAGACTTTTGAGAGTGATGGACAGCATTTTCACAACCTAGCTTTCCACAGGCATAGGTCTAGGACTGGTCGGTGAAATGTTGGGGGGTTGGGGGACAGAAACGTTTTTTGATTGGTCACTGGAAATGCATCTCTTTTGAGAGAAGGTTTCTAACTGGTGTTTGAGTGACTGCGTGTTGGTTAATGTTTAGTCAGACCTAAGTCTATGATGCACAACACGCGTGAGTGAATGCTCGTTCATGAATTTACGGTCGGGGGTGGTCGCTTGGAAAGCCACGTGGCTGGTCCGTTGTCTCTATGACTATCCACTAACAATCTGTTCAGGCCATTCGTTCCCGACTTTTTATGGTTCATTCATTACATCAAGTCTGTCTTTCTGCCCATTCAACGCCTTTGCAGTCTTAACCGCAGTCGGGGAATCTTTTACAAAACCATCACGTGTTGTCACATTATCGACCCAAAGTGCCCCCCACCCCAAAGGGAGGTCACTAGAAATACTAAAATACTAGAATATCAAGGCAATGAGGTGACTGCGTTCCTTCCTCCCTTTGGTAAGGTTCATGTAAACGCACGCTCCGTATAAACACACGCTAAGGAGCCCTCCCGAGCACCGTACGTTTAGGCAGAGACTACTGTAGTCGACATTAGCCAATCACGAGTACTGGTTCGACTAAGAAATTCAGTATCGATGGATACCCAGTACTGGTTAAGGAAATCGTTGAAAAACCAGGGACCCAACGCTTGTATATCAAAATGTGTTCTCATACTACACTTCTTTTTCTTTGCAGCTGTGAAGACATTTTGAGGTTGGCAGAGGTATAAAATGGCTACAACAATTGAATTATTGCTCACGATGTGCCCCGTAAGACGAAATTCATCAAATGAAAGAAAAGCGCAATCTTGAGTGCCGCACCAAATTGCGCCAAAAACTTTCTCCTGAATATCAATCAGGCGTAGGACAGTTTGAGAAACAATCGTGATTGGATGATTATCGTTAGATGTTTTTGCGTCATACCCCTCTCTTGTCACGTATCGTTCTAGGCCTTCTATTCGAATACTGACGAATAGTATTCTCAGACTTCTGACTTCTGACCGAGGAATGACAAGAGGCCTATAGTAGAAATGACTGCAACTGTGTGAGTGTACAGCTACAATAATACATGTATGTAAGAGTAGACAAAAAGTATTTTTATCCGTCTCATGTAATCTCAGTTACTGTTTAAGGTTTGGAAAGTGAAGGGTCTTCCTTCGTTTCTGTACAAAAAACTCTGTATCGACTAGTATCAATTTTAAGGGGCTTCCAATATCGAGTATCGATTAAGTTGCCTTTTCTTAACCAGTACTGGGTACTGGTTTCGACTGACGTCCATCCCTATTTCTCTCATTAATTTTCCCTTTGTCAGTAAAACAGACGGCCAGCTCTATTCAGACTCGAGTCCTCGAGTCTGATTAGACTTTTTATCTATTCGGACTCGAGTCCGAGTATGGGTTTTATCTATCTCGGACTCGGGTCCGAAAAAAATGTTTTATTTATTCGAACTCAGCTTCTAAGTGAGTTATGTCAGTGTAAGGAGGTTACATAATATAACTGTTGTCGGGGGGTTTTACGTAAAATTGGAATTAGGACTAGAATTACCTACTAGTACTAGGACTGTGTTCCAATGGCAGTGTCTAAGTACACGGTAACCAACAACTCAGGGTCTTTCCACCACCGGTACAGCATCAAATGATAGCAACAACAACTACAAGGACTCTTTAGCTATTAGAGTTACCAAACTTTGGCGGCCATTTTCTCGCTAATTTCACCACTGAAACCACGCGATCTCACCTCCTTCAATAGCAAATATCTTGACTTCTATTTGAGACAGATGGGTATTTTTTTCACTGATAGCAAGACAAACGAACAATCTTTAAGATGATACCAATAACTCCACATGCCCAAAAATTGACGAGCGCCTGATTCTACCGCGCCATGACACATTTAAGTGATTACTGAACCCATTGAGCTGTTTCCTTGGTCGGCTGTCACTGAGATTTTTGGTCTAATATCCAATCTAATTCATGAATAAGTGGGTGGTTGGCGGGTGCTCTGGTGTGGTTTGCTTCTTCTTTCCTATCAAACATCTATCGTCCTTATCTCCCCTCCTTCTTTTTTATGTTTGTTACTCTCTTGTAACACCTCTAATCTTCTGGCGCTCATACGACCTTATCCTTATGCAGTTGCGAGCGCCGTAAATCCTCTACTAAAACAAACAAACTTCATGAATAAGATGCAAGGCAACTTGTAGCCTACTTGTATTCCTTGATATATTTTTAAGTAGTAATTATTGTTTAGTTTAACAATACAGACTCACAAATTTTTTAGAAAGACATCTTTTAAAAAAATGTAAAGTACTGGTAATATGTTTCTCCTCAGTTCATGGAATTAAACCGTTGATGTTTTCTTCCACTTTGTGAATTTGAAGAACGGTACGGCGAAACCTACTCTCCAAGCTGTTTTTGCTGCGAGTGTCAAGATGGGAAATGGTATGAACAAGGTATGTCTGTGAAAGACCAAGAGTTTTGTTCAAAGCTTTACAAGCCGAAGGGCTAGAACTCAGATGACGGATGGATCGGAAGCTTTATTGTAATAACTTTTCTGATTGATCTTAAAGTGGGTAAAATGTTGATTAAAATGGTTCTGACCATGCTTTTCTAATCTATCAGCCTAGAAATTTGAGGGGAAAAAAAGGATTATTTACTATCCCACTGATGTTATTATTGATCCTGTGATCTTGGGCATTTGTTTATGGTTCAATTCCAGGGAAAGTTTCAGTACTTTTCTGTTAAATCAATGTTTAATGGGTCTATCTAAGATGGAGGCACCCGCGTCATGTTTGCACCTTTCTTTTTCTCTTTAGATCTTGCCTGGTCTCTATATTGGTAATTTCCGGGATGCCAAAGATGAGAAACAGCTCAGTGAGAACAGCATTACGCACATAGTCTCCATTCATGACAATGCTAAGAAGATCCTTGAGGTAAGATGTTTACTTTTTAGTTTTCTATGCCGCGTTGCATTTTGAATAAAAGATGTTTTAGTATTAAGCACTAGCAAAGTTCTGTATTGCTTATGTCCCTCCTATGAATATGCCAGCTATTACAGTCTATGTTTAATATTAGCAGCCTACTCTCAAAGTGATGGGACAGTTTTTCCCAACATTGCCAGCTTGAAGACAAACTGGCATACTCAGTGAATGAGGGGAAACTTCCAGTCTTAATATGGGGTCTTTTTCTTCAGGAAGCGTATTTTGGATGTTTGGTTCTGTTTAGGGTGACTGGCATCGGTATTGTAATGATAAGGCTCTCAACTGTTGCATGCAGATGTTTCCTCAATTTTTAATTTTTTTAAAAGGGATCTTGATTAGATAATGTTTTGAATGGGTGATGATAGATGAGATGATGAATTGACAAGATAATACTTGAATTGGAGAATGTCATGTTGTATTCTATTAGATATTTCTCTTTCATTGGATAATATCTTGTTATATTGTATTTAGAATACTCATCATGTATTTCCAAACCTATATTTTTCTCAGGACAAAGAGTACCTCTGCATCCTAGCCAGTGATACACCAGATCAAGATCTCAGCAAATTTTTCCCTCAAATTATTCGATTCATTCACAAGGCACGTCTTGATGGTGGATCTGTTCTTGTTCATTGGTAAGTGAGAAAGGCGGTATAGTCTTTGAGCAGTGATGTCTCGAATAGGTCGAGGGTTTACTCATGCGTATGATACCTTTGTAATTTTCATTGAGTAAATAGTGAAAGAACAAAAAAAAGAGATATTGAAGAAAATCAAGAGAAGTAACTATGATGGTAAAATGTAAAGTACCCGGTATCAATAAAAGAATAGAAAGATGGATAGTGTTAGGTGTTGAAGTGAGGGAAAAAAGCCTTACAACCAAAGAAAAATTGATTTAGCTCAGGTCATAACGATGTGACCAACACTGGTCAGAGCATGCCACCCGCCCCTCTTGTGTAATCACTTCCTGATCCATATCTTTGTTTTCCTCTGCTGCCCCAAACGGCTCTCTCCTGCTGGTTGAAATATTTTAAAAAAACCATGGACAGGGTTAGAGAATAACGCCCCGGATATATGAGCAATTACCAAAACGTGAGACTCTCTTGAGACTCAGTGGTGCAAAAAAATTGTTCTTACCAATTTGACTCCCTTTTCTGTCAGTCGCAGATTGACTTTTAGTGCTCATATTCCTAGAGTATCAGAGCAAGGAGATGTAGGGTTTTGGAGATATGGGTCTATTGGTTTGGCAACCACTCTATTTCTTGTATGTAACAGTGATGACAAAAACAGATAGGCAGCAAGGCAAATTATAGACTTTAAATTCCATTTGTTTTGTAAACAAAGACTTTGTACACTATGAACTCCATTCATAATGGTAATATGAATGACAAGCTTTGTAACAATGAAGCAGTGCACAGAACATGTCATCATTGTTATGTACAAAAAAAGGATACACATTGGACATTATCATTGACAACTCATCACAATAGTGAAAGACTGTACAAATACAGTTATCAAGGCCCCAGTGCCAGAAAAACACATGTGTAAAACAATTTTTAAACTAATATGAGGCAAAAGCACAAAATGAATGGGGCTGACTTGTACATAACAGTAATGACAAACATGACTTGTACATAACAATGATGACACAATGTACAGGAAAAGACAAAGTCATGCCTCCAGAGAGAAATGCGCCCTCTAAGAATTAAAAAAACCCAGGAGATGTTTCTTTTGCATTGAAACAGATATCAGGTCATATCAAAGACAGTGGACAATCACAATTATGTTGCTAATTATGACAAACAGTACTCGTACATAACAGTGATGACAAAACATACTGGGAAAAGGTAAAATCATGCCTACAAAGAACACGTTTGCACTATGAGATACACAGATCAATAAAGGCATATTTTGCTTCTAAATGAATCTTGCATGGATGAAATATATGTTGAAACTATGAGATACACAGATCAATAAAGGCGTATTTTGCTTCTAAATGAATCTTGCATGTATGAAATATATGTTGAAAACTTATTGATATTAGCAATGATGACAAATATTACTTTTACATAACAATGATGACACAATGTATTGGAAAAAGGCATATCATGCCAACAAAGAACAAATGTGTACTTCTGAGTTAGACAGATAAACAAGGACATATTTGTTTATTTGTGTGAGTAAAGAGAGCACACAAGACTTAATGTTTGCTCTTAGGACAATGTAATTTCTAGTATGTCAGTCAGTTTTGTACGGCTGCATGACGACACCCCAAACGTCATCACTTAGCACAAAAGCTAAATCTATAACCACAGAAATGACCCATCTCTCGAAGTTTGTTCACACATCACACTCTTGTTCCAGGAATCCAGTGTAAACACTGCAATTTCACTAAAATATGCAACAGAGTAGCCTAAAAACACCCAAAACAGTCCTGTACGTCACATTCAACGCAAGATTCTTGTGCGTCACTGGACGCTGACGGCAATGACTACTTTCGTTTTTCTCTTTCCCCCGTTGCTTCCGCTGTTCTGGGGAAGCGGGTAAGGGGAAGTCACTCGAGAAAACAATTATATCCGGGCACTGTTGATGACCCGTTCAAAACAAAAGTAGGCTGAAATTCGGACTTCCGGTACGTCGCAAAGTGACGACGATCTCGGCGAATGTTAAACAGCCGACCGAAATCGTAGATCTAGGAACCGGATGTTCCTTTTGAAGTATTGAATAAACGATGAAAAGCAAAAAGATTTAACCAGCTATGGTGATTCTACTGAAAAATAATGTTGTTTTCTGAAACGCCTAGTCCATGACGACACGACGAATGCACAAGTGATCCGAATTATTCGTTTATTTGCGAACAAATAAACCGATTTCTTGAGCAAGTGAACCTTTTTCGATGACAAATAGCATAGGATCAAAGCACACGTTAAAAAAAAAACACCAAAAAATTCGAAATTTTGGACATTCATTGAAGTTTGCATTGGTGTGCTCAAAATGACAGTCCAAGAATCACTAAAAAACGAACATTTTTTGGCACTAAATTTTCAAACTCAAGATTGTAAAGCTGACACGTGGTCTGAAACTGCTAATGCAGGTGCTACATCCTATATTTGACTTGTGTTTAAGTTTTGGAGGAATAAATACTAATGCATCACATTTTATGCACACTAATGTGAAATGTATGTGTTTTTCCCCACGTTTTGGCAATGGCTCATATACATGTACAATCTCAAAACACTCACTTTTAAAGCCTAAATGAATCCAGGAGTTATCAGATACTGAAAATCGTGTTACTTGTAGAATCAATCTGAAAGAAACTTCTACTTCCATCTTTTAAATCAGAACTCTTTTTTTTTCACCTGTTGGAAATTTCAAAAATAGATTAACGACACTGTTAGAGTATATAACATCATCAAAATGTCTCAATGTAAAATGATCCCCTTTTTTCTTCTAGCCTGGCCGGTGTGTCACGTAGTGTGACAGTGACGGCAGCTTACATCATGACAGTGACAGAACTTGGCTGGAGGGATTCCCTCAACGCCATACGAGGGGCCCGCAGTGTGGCCAACCCAAACTTTGGCTTCCAGAAACAGCTACAAGCCTACGATCACGAGCATGTTGTGGAGGTGAGGGTTGTTGTTGTTGTTGTTGTTAACGATCCAGTAGCATCTGAGCGTTAACTCTTCTGCAAGATGCCATTCTGTAATAGTTGCATGTTTGTTCTAATTGTTGTCTTGAGGAGTAGAGGCAATTAGATGTGTGGGGTAGCTTGGGAAGAAAACATCCCCTTAAATCAGTTAGTTTTCTGCAGAAGAAGAGATGATGTTCCACTGTCTCTGAGGGGTAGTCACATAGTGGGCAGGCAGCAGACTGCTTTACTCCAATTCTGTTGAGGTGTTGGTTGAGGGGTACATGTTGTGTTCTAAGTTGGAAGATTATGGATTGATCTCCCCTCCTCAACTCATTGATTGGATCTTTGACCAGTGGTTTATTCATGTGGCCATACATCCTCCTTCCTGTTGTACCTGTGGCCCAATCATTCATCCACTCTTCCTTGAGGTTTGACTTGATCATTTGGCAGCAGGTGGTGTAATTTGTAGGAATTTCAGGCTGAGGGAGGCTAGCTCCTTTCTTTGCCAGAGCATCAGCTCTTTCATTCCCCGGTATCCCAGTGTGGGCAGGAATCCATTGTAGGACTCTGACGTGGTGCCTACTTATCAAATTATGTAGACTCCAAATCAAGTGCAATATATCTTTGTTCACATCAGTCCCACTCTCAAGTGTCTCTAGTGTTGAAAGGCTGTCTGTAAAGATAACGATGTCTGTGGTAGCAAGTGGGTTAGTGTCAAACAAGTAGTTGATGTAGTTTGCTGTGTTGGTGATAGCTTGTTTTTCGGCAATGAAATTGGAGCAGAAGGACCCGCTGGAATTAAAGACTTCTTTTTTTTTATCCCACTGGGCAAGTTGATCACTGACCCATATCCAGCGTTGATTGTTGCCGTAAAGGCAGATCCATCAGTGTATGAGTGGATCCATGTTGGTGGATAGGAATCAATTGTTTCAAGGGCAGAATGTTTTAGTGCTACAGGATATGTGTTTTTATTGCTCTTGTCCAAAAGTGTTTTCCTAATTTCTGGCTTTGCTATGGTGAGATGTGGTGGGAGAGTTGGAGGAACTCTTTCCAGGGGTTCTCGTCTTTCAGGGGGGTGATGTTTTTCTTGGAGATTGAGAACAGTGTCAAGTACAGATTTTGTATTTTTTAGTCTGATTAGGTTTCCACTTGTCAACAAGGATTCTAGTAGGGTGGTTATTTTCTAGCCTTTTAGATCTTTCATAAACTTCTAAAGCTGCCTGTTTTCTTCGAGTTTCTAATGGCTCAATAATTGTGTGGATTTCACAGGCCGCAGTAGGTGAGGATCTCATTCCGCCAGAGATAAGACGAAGAGCTTGGTTTTGGATGGTGTCCATTGAGTTTTTTGTAGTTTTACTGCAAATGTTTTGTAGAACAAGATTATAATCAAAAACAGCTCTGGTATATCCTAAATAGAGGCCTCTCAAGGTGTTCTTGTCTGATCCCCAGTTGATATTGGCTATTTGTTTGATGAGATTAAGTCTCTTCACAGCCTTCTTCCTGAGGTTGTTGGTGTGTTGTTTCAGGTTGAGCTTGCTGTCAAGTTGTACTCCAAGATACACTGGGTTATTCTCCTTTTTCAAGTTGGTACCATCTATTTTGAGAGGGATTTCTGCATTTGCAAGGTTATAGCTTCTCGTAAAAACAGAGTAGACAGTTTTTTCGCAATTTACTTTCATCTTCCATAAACGGCAATAGATTCCTAGGGAATTTAGATCATCTTGTAGTCTTCATCTGCTTATTGTTGTTCAGTTTCCAGTGTGCCAAAGGGCCAGGTCATCAGCAAAAGGGGCTTTTTCTGTTTTGAGAACATATGGAACATCATTGAGGAAGACAAGGAATAAGGTACAGCTGATAGAAGATCCCTGTGGGAGTCCTTCCTCAAGTACTGCTTTTGAAGATAGGGTTTCATCCATCTGGTCTGGATAAGTCTATCTGTAAGGAATGATTTAATCCAGGAGTACATGTTTCCCTTGATTCCCATGTTCTGCAATTTTAAGAGTAGTCCTTTCCTCCACACTCTATTGTAGGCTTGTTGGAGATTCACAAACACAGCCGTTGTCTGTTCCCCTCTTTGAAATCCATCAATGATTTTCTGTGTAAGCCTGAAGAGCTGGTCTTCTGTCCTGCCTTTTGACCTGAACCCTGCTTGACACTGATATCAGACCTGAAGACTCAAGCCACCAGTTAAGATGAGAATTGAGGATTCTTTCACAGAGCTTGCCAATACAGGACGTAAGTGATATTGGGCGGTAGTTTTTAGGGTCATTGGCCTTCTTTCCTTTCTTTAAGATTGGGTTTATAGTAGCTAGTTTCCATGCTTTAGGCAGATTTCCCTCGGTCCATGTTCTGTTGTAGAGCTTAAGAAGTAGCAGTTTGGCTTTTTCACCAAGGTTTTGTAGCATCTCATTGTGTACTTTATCAGGACCTGGGCTTTTTCGCTTCTTCAGTTTCTTGATTGCACAGTCCAACTCTCGCTTAGTTAAGAAGTCCTGGAAGATACTCGGTTTCATCAAATCTCTCTCTTTTCCTTTCAGAACACTCAGTAGACCCCTGTCCAGGTCATTCCTTTTGCTGCTTTTGTTAATGGAGGCAAAATGTTTATTGAAGTGTTCAGCTTTTTTTAACTCGCTGGTGAGAACTTCGGTTTCTGTGTGTAGTGGTTTGGGGTTTTCTTTCCTTTTTTTGCCAGTGAGGTTATTTAGAAGTGACCAAGCTTCACGTCCACCTTGACACAAATTGAGTCCCTCACACTTCTGCGTCCAGGCTTCCTTCTTAGATTCTTCGGTGACAAGTTTAGCCTCTGCTACGGCCTTTTTGTATCTAATTTTCTTGTCCATATTTTTTAGATCTTTCTCATATTCGTGTCTGGCATCATTTTTAGTTTTTGTAGCTTTCTCCAAGCGCTCGTTCCAAAAGGGTTTATATTTGGTTCTGCACCCCTGTGGGATACTCTTCTTTGCAGCATCTAAGATGGTGGAGGTGAGTTCACTATTAAGGGCGTCTATACTTTTATTGTCTAGATCATCCAGCTTAACGGTGTCCTCATCTGTTTTTCTGAAGAGATCCCAGTTTGCCTTCTTGAAGTTCCAACGGGTTCTTCTTTTCCTTTGTCTGTGTTTCAGTATACTGATTTTGGTGAGAACGGGACGATGGTCACTAGATATACAGTCTAGCACCTCTTCACTGCAGTAGTTGTGTAAATCAGCAGAGACCAGGGTGAGATCTGGTCTGTGGAGGGTTCCCCGTGTCTCCTATGAAGAAGTGTTTTGGTTGAATCCTCATCTTGAAGAAGGATGAGGTTAAGGACTGACATAGTTCTTCAATCCTCTTACCTGTGTTGTTTTGGTCAGCATAGCCCCAAAGGGGGGGAGTGTCCATTAAGGTCACCAGCTATGACCGTCTTCTTAAAGATAGTACTCTGTTCCATGAAGTTCAGAGTGTTACTTGGGGGACAATAGATGTTATAGAGTATGAGCTTGCTGTTGCCATACCACAGGGTGACTTTATGTGCGTCTGTGGGGTGCCAATTAAGGAGCTCTACTTCACCCTGGATGTCATTTCTGATATAGGTTATAATCCCTTGGCAACCTTCACATTTACATGGATAAGGGGTATACCCAGTGATGTTTATGTCACAGGATGAATGGAGAGTTTCCTGTAATAGAGCAATGTGGACTTTCCTTTCATACAAAATTTTCCCCAATTGTGTTTTCTTCTTGTCCAAGCCACAGACATTTGCCTGAAGAATATTGAAGTCTATAAGCTTCTCTTTTCCGTTACCAGTTGTAGGGGGTGTTTTCTTCTTGTTTTTCCATTTTCTCTGCTTTCTGATTTTCTTTTCCTTCCAATAACCATCCACCAGGCCAGCTTGGTTGCCCACTAAGACCTGGGGGAGACCTTGATTACCGAGGCGGCGTCTCAGCTCGTATGGGATTCTATCATTTGTGAATAGCATCTAAAACTGGTGGTTCTGTGATTTTCCTTCCATCCCGGGGTAGGAGATAAAGCAGTGGCTGTAGGTGCAATGCCACAAACAAAAACCCAACTCCATCACAGAGAGATTGTAAGAAAAATGAATGGGTATGTTGGTGTCTGTTGTATTAAATTGAGGAGTTGTTTGAGGAGATAAAGAAGAGAAAGACGCTATTAATATTAAGAGCATAGTTGCTGTGTGTTGCTGAAATACAAAAATTATAATATAATAATAATAATTCTAGTAGTAGTAATAATACCAATTGGAAGCTAGACCCCCCCCCCCCCCCTCTCCCAGAGCAACCAAGTCCTCTCATCCGAGAGATGGGGGCAGGGGAAGGCATGGCAGATCCCAGAGGGTTAATGTTGTCAACAAGCAAGACGCAAATGGTCTCTGCACCTTCTCTGCAGTCATAGGGCTCTCCGATAAGTGCGTGCTTAATACATGTATGTAGCTGGGTATTCCCTACGTAAAGTCACATCCAGTACAGTGCTTACAATGAACCTCTGCTTTCCACCCCACCAATACCCGTCCCAACTCCAGGTCAAAGAAAGGTTGTTGACGGAGAGAGGAGAAAAGAGAAGTTAATAAATGTAATAAAGTAAAACAATAAATAAAAAGAGTAAGAAACATAGTAAAGTAATATGTCTCTTTTCGGGGTCACCCCTGGACCCGTTAGCTTGCTTCCTCTTTTTCTTTTCCTATTCGAAGAGTACTAATCCCCCCCCCCACCACGAAGAGGTGGGTCTATTTGGGGGGGGGGGTGGAGGTGAGGGTCAAGCTGATCTTACAGCCATGGGATTCATTTCTACTGTTTCTGTTGTTTTTAAATGTTGTTTAATTCTCTGATGTTAAATGCATGAGCTGATTTTAGTTTTATATGTAGAGATGGTTTTTAAATAATTTTTTTCTCTGTTCCTCTAAAACCGTAGTTTTAACTTGTTCCCATGTGTAGTTATATTGGGCTGCTCAAATCAGTTTGTAAGGTGTTCATGGCAGCTTCATGGAACTAGATTGAGAAGTTTCCCCCTAACAGCTGCTCAGGTTGGTTATGTATAGTTGTAGTATATATCAACATATCCTGAGTATTTCCAGTCACCCAGTAATTTTGAATTCTACCTCTTTTTACATCATATCTTTCTGGCAAAGTTGATATGTTTAAACCCCTAGTTATGAAAAAATAATGTGTCCACAGGAAAGGAAAAAGTTGCGCAGCCAATTCCCACATAACTCTTTCAAGGACGAGGAAGAGTGCAGAGTGAATCTCCGCTGTTTCCAGCATTACATCATGACCGGCGACCTCCCCTCCCGTTCAGATGACCTCTACCCCTTGCCCCATCGAGCCTACCAGAGCCCTGCAAAGAAAGAGTCGGAGAGTTCGAGCAGCAAAAATAAGGTAGACACTCACAGCCCGTCGCTGTCTCAGCATCAGCAACAACAGCGTGGTCGACACCGGCACCACCATCACCACCACCACCACCATCATCATCGCCACCAACAACTTAAACATAGACCTCAGCGCGAAATAGTGAATGAAGAAAGCAATGACAATCATGCAAGTATAGCATGTGACAGAGACTTTTAACATTTATTCCTGTGGTTTTTCCAACAAATGCTTGTTACATGTGTTATATTGTTTTCCTTTTTTGTTATGGTTCTTTGTAGAGACAAATTTCTGTGCCTGACTGTATTTTCCAATATATGGAGAAAGTACAGAGTTAAAGTCTTTTAAGTATCTTAGTCATTTAAGTCTGGAAAGAGAAAAAAATAAAGTTACTGCTATTATATATGTGAGGCAGCGTGGTGAAATCAGATATTCGTCAATATAATGAGATCGGAGAAACCGGAGTTTTTCTGCTCCTTTGGCAATTTTTATCAAGTTTTTTTGTTTTTTTCACTCAACACCTTTTAATTTTATGTCCATTTAAAAACACATGTCTGTGTGGTTTTTACTTTAAAACTTTGATTTAAGGCACAAGAAATGTAATTTTGCAGTTTCCAAGGACTCTCAAGCTTCGGAAGTCACCGAGCTTTGGTGGCCATTTTATCGCTATTTTATCACTAATTTTAGCTCTGAAAACAAATGACTCCACATCCCCTTCAATCACAAGTATGTCGGCTTCTATCAAGGTAGATGAGTAGCTTTTCATCAAAAGCAAGATTAACTGAGCAAGCCTTAAGATGATACCGATAACTCCACATACCCAAAAATTGATGAGCTCCTTATTCCACTGTGTCATGACACATATTTGATATTGGAAAAAATTATATTAAATTAATTGCATGAAACGAAAAAGAACCAATGCTTTGTAGACTTGAACTTGGAGCTAGAGGTGAAAACTTTGGATATGCTGTTCAATCATGGTGACTGGATGTTGGTGAGTTTTTCCAGCCATTTCATCTTTTTTTTTAATCTGGAAAAACTTTCTGGAGGTTGATCAGGGCTTGTGAAGGATTCCTATAACTTTTTATAAGTTTTGTCGACGTTTCAAATTGTTTTTGTGGGGGGGGGGTTTTCAGTTTTTGTTTAGGGAATTCATCTGAACATTTTATTACTATTTTTGGCTTTGGGTATAAATGTCATGGTATGGCAACTTTTTTCTGCTTTCGTTATACTTTCTTCTGAGGGCCTTAGTCTTTTTGGTTGCGGCTACTGTTTACAGTACCTTTTGTGTAGAATTTTGCTATGTATACTACAAAAGTAAGCATTTTTAGAAGGTGGAGAGTACAGTTTAGATTAACTTTTGAGGGACCACAGCCACAAAGAAAGTGGAAACAAAGCAAGAATTCAGGCAAAATGTTGTAAGGCACTCAGGAGATAATTGTTTTTTCAAAGTGAAATACTGTACCAGTGTTAATAAGATTGTTTGTTTTTTTGTCGTTGTGGTGGTATTATGAGGATTGAGGGGGGAAGGGGGGGTGTCTTTTTTGTACATATATATATGGACTCACAATTTATTTTTAAGCACGGTTTCCTTTCTTTTTATCTTCATGGTGAATTTTCAAGTGTGTATTGATTTTCTCTTTGCGTAATGTTGTGTTGTACAGGAAATTTTCTCTTGATGCAAAAAACAAATTCTCATAGGTTTTTGTAGAAATGTCTAAAGGATAAACTTGACATCTGGGTTTGACCATTTGAACGAGGGAGACTATTCTATAAAAGCCTGTGCTGTTGTAACTGCTAGAACTGCTATAAATATACTTTACTTTTTTTTGTAATAGGCCAGAGAGAACCATGTCAGCTGATCATTCACATAGAGTTGCCAGTATTATGGAAACCAATAAATCTGAAAATGTGGATTTCTGAAATTGTCTGGATTTTGTCCAACTTGTGCATGTCATATTGCACTATTTATGAAAATAGTCTTGAGTCAAAATAAGACAACATGGTCCATAGATTTGGAGTCCTTTCGGTTGGGTTTCCACGGCATCCAAAAAGTTCAGAATATTTTATTCTTAGTCAGTTGGTGGCACCTCTGTACAGAATATGTATTGTTTCTTCTGACGAGTACAAATTAAAAATGAGGAATTATTCTGCACATCTCGTAAATAAAATAATCATTGTTTTAAACAAATGAAATATTATAATACCACAGTTTGGCCTGGCAAAGAAGACTTTTTTCTGCTTTTCAATTTGATTATGTCCTTAAAGACTTTTCTTCCTAAACCAGATAAACATGTTTTGATGGACTTTTCATTTCTGTTGTGTATAACGTATCTGCAACATTACACGTACTAGTTACTTATAGGATCATTTTTCGTTACCTGAGACTTGCCTTTCCGCTGACTTCATTAGATATTACGAGTTTGACAGATAAGTGCTGAATATTTTGTTGGGTCCAAGATATTTTAAAAGCAGGATTTGACTTTTTTGTGTGCAGAAGGCGTTTACAGAGAACAGAAATAAAGATAGAGGATGTGTCAAGATTCATGTAAACTTATGATTGTAATGATAGTGATAGATCTATGATGTGCTGAAAGTCATTTATATATGAAAAGCATGTCACTATTGTTTATAAAACTGTATAGCTGTTGGGTTAAAAATTATGTCCTCCCGCCACTAAATATCCACACTCTCTCTTGAGTCCTATTCTTTGCAGAGTGAAAAGTTTTACTGTTATCAGTGTGTTTAGGGTAAAGATTGCTATAGCAAATTAGAGTCTATCATTAAATGTAAATGATAAAGCTTTGTGTAGCTGATTGGGAGTCTATTCTAATGATTGCTGGAGACAGTGCTGTGCACACAAGGAAGGTTTGGTCAACATTTTTCTTTCTGGAAGGAAAATTGCCCCCAATTCTTTAAATTTATTAGCATTAGTTCTGATAATTTGAGCAATAATTATCCTAGGTTCTTTATAAAGCATTAGCTGCTGCCAGCAGCTTGAAATTGCATGCTCTAACTCAAGGTGTCAATTGACTTATTTCCTGTGTGCACTTTTTTCGCTCACTATGGTAACAAATTCAAATTTCTTTTTAAATTTTTTTGTTCCCAATATTGTCCTGTATAATTTCTGTCCTGTATTTTTTCATATATATATAACACAGTGTGGCAAAAATTATTGCACTTCCTGTATTGTACCCAATCAGTTTCTATTTTTGGATGTGTTCCTCTAGCATTGTTTTCTGAATTCTATCATGTTTTGTGTCCCTGGTGTTTTGGGACTAGCCTGATGGCCTTGCAATGGGGTCCTCCTGTCAGCATCTGATTGTTGTGTGTGCTAAGGATGCTATATGTTTGCTCCATATTACTATTACATCCAGAGGCAACTACCATGTGCGCAGTGCATGCATTTGTTGTAAATGATAGAGAGATACTGGTAAAAAGTAAAAAGAAGTTATAGTGCAAGTTTCCATAAATTTACCCTTCGAATGAGAATGTCTCAGTTCTCACCTTGTAGAGTTTGCAGTAGCAGAGCAGTTTTTGTGGTTTTAAAAAATATTTCATGATAGAAATTCTGGACAATAATGCAGTAGGCCTAATGGAACAGTCTCATCTTTGATAGAACCGAATGCTATTCTTTCCAAAGATGGCCAGATTAACACCCTTTTAAAGTTAAAAAAGATAAACGAAGAACAAACCATCACGCAACAGTATCAGTATCTATGAACATATGGAGATTATGCTGATTGTTATAATTATAAGAACAGCAGTGACACAAGTTGTAAGAACTAATACAAATTTCTGTAGAACCTAGCGTCTCACTAAGTGTAATAGATGTTAGTATTTTGCTAAGTATAGCGCTTGGTAAATAGTTTGTAAGAACTGCTCGTTTAATTTGTCTTTTCAGTCTGAAGACAGAAACCAGGAAACAGTTGCTGGTTCGAGTGCGAAAGTTGACACTGCGGAGAGACAAGCTGAGGAATCCGCCCCGTCTTTGTCCGGGCTCAGTTTGGACGACAACAGCAACTCAGGCAGCAAAAGTTCTAACCACAACGACAATGGTCGGTCCTCAGCACGGGACGGGATTGTTCTAGAGACACTATTTGATCATGCCTCGGATTAGCGAACGATGACAGAATTGTCACCAAAACCATTGTTGATTGTCAAGTGTTTTGGACAGTCGCAGGCCTTGCAAGTCTTACTTTGTTTTAAAAAGTGCTTTCTTATTTTGTTTTACTTTTTTATTACCCTATCTCCCTGCCCATCATCTCACTCATATAATCTTTTTCATAAAAAGCATTTCATTGTTTAAGTTATACGCCAGTAATTTTTACCGTGTCCATATCACTTAATATTTAACTTTTCGAAAAAGGATGCAAAGTATAAGATGATTCAGGGATCTACACACACAGAGTATGCTTCTGGAGTTGTGTGAATTTTTCTCTTCAGCATGCAGTGAGAGAGTTTCTCTCGGTATTTATAAGAAACCTCTTGCAACACTTTTTATCACGTTTACTTCTGATCACTTTTCTTGATAGGGGTGACTGATCCTTTCTATAGAAGTGTAAAATTATCACGGACAACTTACTGTAAAACTTCTACTACAATATCAATTAGGCAGGTGCTAGCCACCCAATCTTGGGTGGCTAGTGTTTTGCTACTCGAACGAATTCTGTCGATTAGCCTGACGCTACTGGCCCATGGTGATTTGTGCAACCTTGGGTGGCTAGCATTATTCTACCCACCCAGAGCCGGTTACATAGTTCTAGTACTATACAAGTTGCGTAAACACGGCCTTGCGGCCATCCGAGCGACTTAAAGCTTTTGAGAGCGCCTAGCACACCTTTGACTTTGTGTGTGAGCAATTTTGTCTACAGGCAGAAATAGAAAGAGAGAGAGAGAGAGAAAGTCATTATTTGTCTGGTAATAATTCTGTAATTAATATGATGTTGACCAGTGACAACGTGCTAGACTAACTGTGACACTATAACCATCATTGCGAATATCAGTTGACGAGCGAACTACATGAGTTCAATCGGTGGACTTTCCTCGTTTTGTTTGTTTATTTTTTCAGTTTTCTTTTTTTCCTTCTCATCGACATCCACAGCACCCCCCCCCCCCTCCCTTTCCAACCCTTTTTTTTCTTTTGTTTGTTTGATTGTTTGGTTCCAAAAACATTTTTTGAGGGTTGTAAATTTGTGTAATCTTTTATAAACTATCACAGAAATTTTTGTTCCGTAAATGGTCGCTTTTTTAAGGACAAGCGGGCTAACCCAGATTTTGGGTGTGTCTAGAAATCTTGACCTTCACCAAAAGTGGGCATTGCCTTATCTATAGAAAAAGTTTGGTTTCATTAGTGTGTATAAATGTTTGGTTATAGAGAAAACTCTCTGTGGCTTTAAAAGAAACTGAAGAAGGGGCAAAGTTTTTACCTTCGATTTTCTCAAAACTACATTTTTCGGGATAGCCCCCTTGTGCTTAAAAGCGACCAAATTTAGCCTGTACTATTCTGCACCTCCTCCTCTCCTCTCCTCCCCAAACAAAGTTATTTTGTAAATATACACACACGCACACACACCACACACCTTCGTGCGTGCACACACACACTCCAAGCTGTTGGCGATGAGACCAACCTCGCATCCCCTAGTGACGTAGCTCATAACGTGCTAAGCGGTAAAGCGGGCCCGGCCGCGGCGTGGAACAAAAGCCCAAAGAAGGATTGCAATATTTATTTTCTTGGTAGTAGTAGAGAATCTTTGTTTGAATTGCCCTATCTTACGTCCGAGCGAGACTTGGGCGCGACTTTATTTTAGCGAGTGACGGCCCGTGATACGAGTGTAAACAAACGTTCCAGAGCTGAGTTGAACTTGAAAGCAAGCAATTTTTGTCTGTGGGCAGAGAGAGAGGGGGGAGGAGAGAGAGAGAGAGTGAGACAGAGAGAGAGAGTGAGAAAGAGAGAGAGACTGAATTCGTTCGCCCGGAACATGCGCAGAAATCACCATGGGCCAGTAGCGTCAGGCTAATCGACTGAATTCGTTCATGTAGCAAAATGATATCCATCCCTGATCGGGCGGCTTGCCACTCTGTATCAATTAATACCAGTCTTACTGTTAAATTACTCAATAGTGGTAAAATTGTGAAGTGCTACTAGTCCCTGTAGTCAATCCCAATCTTGCTATAGTATATGTGAAATCTCTACTGGAGTTCCTTTGGCCATTACAGTAGTCTCTGCCTTAATGCCCGCTATACAAAAGCACGCTCTGCTCAAACACATGCTTTCGTCATCTGGCGGGTTTTTTACTATATAATTTAGACGTATAAACGCACGGTCACTCCCTCTAAACGCTCGCTTCGATCCGCAAATGACATCGGCAGGTTAAGCTTGACAAAGGGAAATTTTCACTACAATCTATACAGCTTGCATTTAGAGAAACCTAAAAAATCGGATATTTTTTGTGAGACTGCCCCTCACGCCAAACACAGAGAGGGATGGACGTCATTTTCACACCCACCTTTCCACTGACACATAGGTCTAGGGCTGGTTGGTGAAATGTTGGGGGGTTGGAGGACTGAAATGTTTTTTGATTGGTCATTGGAAATGTATCTTTGTGAGAAGGTTTCTGACTGGTGTTTGAGTGACTGTATGTGATGTTAGTTAGACCTAGGCCTATGATGCACAATACGTGAATACTGTAAAAGACTAGATAGGCCTTTATAGGATTAAAGATTAGTCAAGTAAGCCTAATCAGCTGCGCTTGAAGAACTTATATTCTTATAATGCACTTGTCCAACGAATCACAAGAGAAATGTTTCTCTGAATGTAGAGATCTATGATTCTGATGTCGCTCATAAATTTATGGTCAGGGGTGGTTGCTTGGAAAGCCACACGACTTCGACGTCGTCTCTATGACTATCACAAAAAATTTCCTCTTAGGCTTTCTGTTCCCGACATTTTATGGTGCGTATCAATACATTGAATCTGTTTTCTGCCCCCCCCCCCCCCCCCCCCCCCCCCCCCCCCGTCCTCGTTTTTTTTTTTACCCCCCGGTGGGGGGGGGGGGGGGGGGGGGGGGAAATCCTAAAACAGAAACGTGTCATCGCATTATTGGCCCAAAGGGAGGTCACTAGAATATCAAGGCAATGAGATGACTGCGTCCCTTTCTCCTTTTGCAAAGGTTCATTTGAATGCACTCTCCGTATCAACACAGGCTAAGGAGCCCTTCCAAGCATCGTGCGTTTAGGTGGAGACTACTGTACTGTAAAACTTACAATGGTCTTGGTGATCACTACCAATTTTAGTGTAGAATTGCTACACAAGAGCCCCTGAGGTCAATACTAATTCTCTTTAAAGCTACTGTATGTGTGATCAACTGATCAAAACTTTAAATTTCTGTGTCTTGATTTGTTGTCTGTGGTTCTAAAGGTAACACGTGTAACTACTTAAACAAGGATGAGACCTTCGAGGGATCAGTCAGGGAAGGAAATACAAGGTTGATGCAGATCTATGATCAGTCAAATGAAAGCTTTTGTTTCAGACTGAAATTGAGGCACCACTATGACGCGTCTTTCAGTTCAGCATTTTATACAACTTAGCACTAGATTATTTCCACCTTCATTCATTCTCCAAGGATGCAACCTGACATTCATACCCAGACATTTCCACCCTATATTCTCCATAGTTAAAAGCCATTGTACAACTACACACACATTTCCATCTATTCGCTGTCCATGGTCACAGCCGTTCCTTCAATTCATATCTCCCCCCACCCGTTTTCTCCCACAATAACACTTTAAAAGACGGCTGACCTCTGTTTGTATGGCAGTGGAAGGTAGTAGTATTGGAGTGCCTTTAATACTTAAGCATTGATCACTGTGTCTAGCAGTAAAATCTCTATGGTAGTGTTTTGTTTGATGCTCTAGCTAGGAGCAAGCAAGCTTCCATGATATCTGCTGTTATATTTTTCTTTCGTTTTTTTTTATTTTGTGTGTTGAGCAGGTCTCAACAGTTGTCTTCATTTTGTTACAAACTGGATAGAAATTAAAACTCCCTTCAACAAAGCCACTTACATTATGATTTCGTTTTAAAATGGTAAAAAAACACAGACATATGAACCATCCTCGTTTCTTCCATTCATGATAAAAAATGACATAAATTATAAAATTATACTATATGCGGACATGTGAGTTTTTATGGTGGAATAGGGTGCTTGTCAAATTTTAGGAAATATGTAGAGATCACTATTTTTCTGAATAATGAGAAATTTTGATTGACTTTTTTTTTTTCACAGAAACCTTCTTTCCATTAAAGGGTGATATTTACAGAAAAATGTTGTCTAAAGCCAAAGAGATCTTATTTTGTAGAATAAGTATGAGTATTTAGCTTTAAAAGTCACCGAGCTTTGGGGATCATTTTCAGGCTAATTTCACTTTCACCCCATAACATGAGCTTACCCTTGGCCTCATTTATTACATGTTATATATATCTGTTTCATTTTCAATGCAAAACGGATCCATATTTTACTCGTCAAGTTCAAGAAAAATAGACAAGCTTTAATTCGATTGCAATAACTCCATACACCTAAAAATTGATGAGTGCACGATTTCACCATGATTCATGATGCAACACGTTATAACTTATATTACTACATGTACTCTTTTAAACTATTTAGAAAAGGAAATCGGCCGTAATCAAAAAAAAAGTAAGGAAACGAATGTCAATGAATCTGGATTTTGGAGAATGCAGTGTGATTTTATGTGTATTTTTGTAGCTTGGTAAAGTTGGTACCGGATATCTTCTCTCCTTCCAGGCCTAGAAGGTGGGTTGTAAAAAATACCAGATCTCCTAGACACCCAAAGGGTACGGTACTCAAAGGAAGGAAAAAAGCTACAATTATCAACTAGGAATAAATCTTACCAGCTCCTGTTTCAATTTCATTGTTTCTTTCAAGTCAGTGGGAGTTTCTTTCTCATACATGTACTAATACTACCATTACTACTGGTACATGTATATATATAATATGTAGGCCTACAGTGTACTATTTTAAACACTGCTTTTCGGTGGGAGAATTGCTGTTTTGTCTAGCACAAAGGAAGTACCCGATAGGTATTTAAAGAGGGGGGGGGGTTGGAGACTATTTGTGCAGGCCAAGATAAGTTTCAAGTTTAGTTTATTAATGGGCTGGGTGAAGGCCATTTCACTCCATGAAGAGCAAACAACAGTGAAAAAAACAACAAAATAAAGAAACGAGGTACACTATGGTTATGCCGCTAATAAGTTATGCAAGGACAAAATGTCGAAAGCAGAACGTGGTTTTTT